TTTACTCAAAATTCATTATCTACAAATTGTTTTTGACAAATATCGTCATTTAATTCGCCACTTTACACTTCATTCGCGAGTGTAATACACACACTTCATATATTTTTGTTGATTGGCAAAAGAGTGTCAAAATGACACAGCGAGACCCTACATGAGGTGTCTAAAATGAACATCGCCCACTTAAGGTGCCTAAGTGAAACTTCGTGCCAAATTTAAGGGGCCACCGATGGGTTACCCCTAATTATTAGTACTGTTTTTTTTTCCCAAATTGAGTAGTGATATTCAAATTCGTAAAACATTATGGGTTAAATTGTAATTTCTTAATATTCAAACTGTACGTGCTAGGCGCTTCCCTTTTAGGAAACGAAGATCACGTTCCGTTGAATCAGAATTGACCCACAATCACGAGACATCCCACCGCCCGACAGAAGTCAAAGGTGAGTGGTCGTCGGACTTTGATCGCCGGACTTTGTGAAATAATAACTGTAGCTGTTTTTTTCCCGGCGATTCCATTCAAAATGAAGAGTAGAGGGAAATCAGTCTTCGGGGGATGGTGGAACCTAGGCTTGCCTTCCGTATTTCTCTTATGTCTCTTCTTCTTCCTCCTCGGATTATTCGCTTCTGCTCTCTTCTCTCAGCAGGTCCTTTCTATTTTCTAATCGTTACTTATTCTTAATTACATGTTTTTTGGTTCAATGAACAGATACATTATTTGGTCAGTAGGTGCAATTGAACATGTAAATTTGTACCAAGTCTGCAATTGCTGTTACAAAGTAGTAGGAATAAACTAGTAGTGCTTACTAATTTTGTAAATCTGGATCTGCGGTGTTTGTATGTATGTGCTGATTGAACTTTTGGGTATGGTAATTGGTAGGATGTACCTAATGTAAGGTCGAGGGTGCTTGAATCTGTTGATCTGGAGAAGGACTTTGATGCCTTGCCTACCGGTGTGACCGGAGATGATTCCTTCACTTCCATCCCCTTTCAGGTGTGTTTCTCTTGTTTCAGTTGCGAAACTGTCAATTCTCCTTGTTTTGGATTTCAGTTCTCGTTTCTGAGCAGGGCGAACTGAAGTGTCCGGATATTCTGCTGTATAATCAGTTGTCAATTGATTGCCAAATTCGTAAAATAGCTTTCTATTTAAAGAGTTTCCATAAGGAATATTTGTCTAAGATGTTTTTCTAATATTGTCCCCTAACTTTTGAGCTCAAATTAGCACAAAGGGGCTTGAAGTAAGTAACATGTGTTGATGAAAAATGCTCAAACTGGCATTGTAGTATCTATCAAGTTTTAAAATTGCATTTGCTCCATCATTCAGGGGCTGATGTAAAGATAGGCTATGAGATAGATACCAGGCAAGAGCTCAGAGGTTGTTTCATCAAGTGAAATCCCAAGTTCTGTCCATGTGTTAGTTACAAACTTATTTGCTAGTAAATTTGCATTCTGAAGCATCTAGGAAATGTTTATCAGACATGCAGAGCAATTTGATATATATCCTCCTAAATTTTCACTTTTCATTGGATTTGATCAAGGAGTTACATGGTCCAATCTAATACAGTTTGATAAGTCACCCTTAACAAGGTCTGATATTGTTGCCTTTGACTCAAACGCATCATGTATGTACTTAGGTCACATCTCTGCAATAGCTGGCAAGATACAATGTTAACTTGTTTTATAACTTAAATCTATGTTGCTAAACTTGTAATTATTTAAATCATTGTATACTTATCAACTCTATGAGGGTTTTTTATGTCTAACTATTATTAAGGTCTTATATTGAATTTCCCTGTAAATATATTTACATTCTTTGGGTAGGTTTTAAGCTGGTTCCCTCGTGCATTATACTTTCCCAATTTTGCATCTATAGAACAATGCCAGGGCATAATTAAGATAGCAAAGGCAAGTTTGGAACCATCATCCTTGGCTCTTCGCAAAGGAGAAACAGAAGAGACCACCAAAGGAATTAGAACGAGGTATATGCGACTCTATAACCCTCATTTTTGTCAATCAGTATCTATCAGGCAACTTTCTATCAATGTTGAACATGAACACTCCAAGACCTTTATTTAAGTCTTTACATTGTCTTAATTTCAGAGTGATCAGATTCTTATTAATTAGATAATTTTTTCCAAAAGTTATTTGAAAATGTCAAGAAGATCTAAATGATAATCAATTCAAACATGACTTCTCCTTCCCATTTCTGCTAAACTAGGTCACTGAATATATGGTGTGTGTTCATTTATCATCTTGTTTTGGAAGACGGAGTGAATTCATGATGTTCAAACCACTTGTGATTTGTTCTTTTTAAAGTTTGAATGACTTGTCTCTAATTTCTTGTGATTTGCTCCTAAATATAAGAATATGATAGAACTTTGCGCTTCATGTGTTAGTATCTTTGACAAGAAACTACATACCGTGCATGAGATTTACATTTTCTTGTCAATTTCTTCAGTTCTGGCACGTTTATTAGTGCATCAGAAGACAAAACTGGAATCTTGGATCTTATTGAGGAGAAAATTGCAAGAGCGACAATGATCCCCAAGACACATGGTGAGGTAAAGTTCATTAACATTTATATCTTAAATAAAATGCATTAAGCTCATAAGTACTGCTTATAAAAAAAAAATCAAAAATGCATTAAGCTCATCTCACCACATGTAGTCTTTGGTTTTGCTTCCATGTCTTAGATATTATAGATCTGATAAGCGACATAATTTTGGAAGAAAATCCTTCTAAATCCCCCCCCGAAACCCAAAAAAGCCCCATCCAAACGACTACCCCACCTATCTTGCCCAGTGCACCAGCAAAACTGTCGTTACTCTGCATCCTAGTTTAGTTGGCATCATTTGTGTAGTGCTAGTATTTGAAAAAAAAAAAAGATGATCGTGATTTTGAAACTAGTTAGATATCATAATAAAATTATAGTATAAACTTCTCGTTTGATTGGCATAGAATAAATCATGTGAACTTCAATTTATTTAATTCTTAAAAGAGCATATACCAAGAAAAAGATTAAAATGTTTATTTCTGATAGCTTTGAGAATTTAAAAGAAATGGGTCCAATTTAGCTTTTGAAGTAATCTTATGTTATCAAGTGATGTACTGAAGAACCTAAAAGAAGAAGTGGACCTCATTTTTCATTTTGATAAGGAGTATTTTAGCCTTTGTATACTAAGATCAATACTTCTCACTGAAACACTGATTCGTCATGTCAATCTGAGAAGTGATATTTGAAATTTGAAGTTCAGAATAATGCCTATTAAGTTACAGGCTAGGGTGAAGTAATAAAAGAATTCAGAATGGTAATGCAATGAAATTCAGATGACAGTTTACCGAATTTGGCAGGTGTTTTTGAGGCCGTTTATTCTAAAGTAGCTAAGATGCAAGAGATTATGGTATAGCGTAGGTGATCATAGATCTCATAATGGTGTGGATACACTGCTTCTAACAAGAGATTGTTTTTCAAAGGACAAAACCATGAGTCAATGGGTCAAGTTTGCAGTTCTAAGAGACAAAAAACACTAGTTGATTCTTTTCATTTGTCCTAGCCCTGGTGGACAGAGTTACTAGGTAACTAGGTACCTGTTGCTGGTGGGAGTTGGCAGGTACCTGTGGAATTAGTCGAGTTGTGCGAAAGCTAGTCCGGACACCGCGGTCATAAAAAAAAAATATCTGCATTTTGATTAGCATCTGAAACTGCCTGGTATGGAGGTTTTGAGCTGTTTTTCCAGAATACTTTGGTCAATTTCTTTACTGGATTTCGCTTTGCAATGTAACCACATATATAACACATGTTTGTTCCTAAAATACATGTGACAATTGACAGCTTGTCAATCTGCTAACTTGATCATTGTAGGTTAATAAACATTGGTGTGTTTGTAGCTCAATTTTCTCTTTATCGCTTCTTACTGATTTTGAATGATTCTCTGCTTCAGGGCGATGCTAAGTGTTATATTCCTCTGGTCATTATTTTTCTTCAAGCTGAATAATTTGACCTTTGCTCTTCGGTGAACTTGTACGTGTTTCAGGCGTTTAATGTTTTGCGGTATGAAATTGGGCAAAGATATCAGTCACATTATGATGCTTTCGATCCTGCTCAATATGGCCCTCAGAAGAGCCAAAGGGTATGTATGAACTAAATTTGGCAGTGGTACTATTTTTTCTAATTGACTCACTATTTCTCTTGTAGTTCAATTGAAATCTTACACAAAACAGCATCATGGATGGTGGAATACTATAGTATTTGATTATCTGTGCATGATGATATTGTGCTTATCCATGATTCCATGTTACTCATAAATATCCTCCTCTCCCCAGGATAACATATAATTAGAATAGAAAGCTTTGATGTGTTTGATTTAAGTATTGGGTTCTATGTCATAAATAAGCAGAATTCGGTTGCTACAACTCCACATTATTAATATGGCATTTTACTCGCTTTACCTCAAAACTGCAGATGCTGGTCCTTCTGTGCAGTACCTTACTGAACTCTCTCTAGCATGTGTCAGATGACAAAATTGATAAATAAATATGCTGCTTTATCTCAGATTGGAATATTCTTTTCAAAGACGGGGGCAGTTTTTTTGTCATTAAGCATGCTTTAAGTGTAAACCATCTTTATTTGTACAATTTAAATATCACTCCTAATGGAAAGTCTTCAAAGCATGTTGACATGCTGTCTACTGTTTTTTTTCAGTTTGAAAATATTGTTTTATCTTTTGACTAAAGAAATCCAATTGTTACTATGTTCTCCATTACTGCTCTAGTTAATTTCTCTTCAATAATCAAGATGACAATAATTGTTCTGTTGGTTTATCATCTTGCCATTGATGTGACATCCTCTATGTCCAACTTTTTTCTTTTCTTCATGGAAAATTTCTGATCTTAACTTCAACCTTGGAACCATCAGGTGAAAATGTGTCGAGCAAGTTTACAGGGATTGTACTACGCTTTTAACCATGACATATTCATTGGTCGAGAATTTTTTCACTGGCATTTAATATTAAGGAATGATTACTTTCACTTGTCTGGACTAAACTTTCATTAATCTCATCTAGGTTGCATCCTTCTTATTATATTTATCCGATGTTGAAGAAGGTGGGGAAACTGTGTTCCCTTTTGAGGTGAGATCGAGTTCCTCTCTACTCTCTTTTGTTCTCTCTCTCTACCGATCGTTACCTTTCTTTGTATGCCTGACTTGTACATGGTCCTTTGTGGTTTATCTACAGAGCGCACAGAACATGGATGGTAACTATGATTACAGCAAGTGTATTGGTTTGAAAGTGAAGCCACGCAGAGGGGACGGACTTCTATTCTACTCACTGCTTCCAAATGGTACAATTGATCTGGTGAGCTATTCTAATGCATTCATTGTCAACTTGTATTTTCTGATTGTTCATTGTGATGTTATTTTGGTGTAAGAATCAATAACATATAGAAAGGAGTAATCAGTCAGTAAATAATTTTGTTTCAAAGAGCTGATCCGCAATAGGTTAGCTGGAATACAAGGCAAACTTCGTGCCATCTGTAGCTGCTAAATTCTAATGCTGCTATGTTAGTTTGCTTAATGCAATTAGATTATGCTCTTCGTCTTCCTTTTACTTCTTCCAGTGCGACTAATTGTAAATCATAGTATATAAATTACCAAAGAAGTGGATGATCAACATAATGTAATGCATAATTTCATTATTCATACATGGCCTTGCGATTTTCATGTTTGTTTGAATTTTAATGCAGACCTCACTTCACGGTAGCTGTCCAGTAATAAGAGGAGAAAAATGGGTGGCCACCAAGTGGATCAGGAATATAGATCAGGACGAGTAAATGTCTGTACACTAAAGTGTTGTTCATTATGTATTTGTAGTAATTTAACCGGAGTGAAGAAAACAGTTTTGGAGTGAATAGATTTATAGAATGTGAATTTATTGTATCCTTTCCAGTTCTTCATTTTGCATTTCTCTGTGACCTTTTTATACCATAACCTTTAGAAGTCTTTATTTCTTTTCCAAATTTGATGCCCAATCAAAAACCTGAATTGAGACGGACAGAGTATATGGTAGCTTACTCGAGTACTTTACGTAAAGTCGTAAAGTATAAAGGTATAGATTTTTATGTGAAACTTTATAAAAATCTCAATAAATATTAGATTTAAAATCTCCAATTATAATATAATAAATTTAATACTCGATCAAGTTGGTACATTTTCTTACATCTCCCCCTCCCGGAGCCCAGGTATCGCATGCGCCCCATGTCTCAAATAAATTATGCAACACTCTTTGCTTTTTGAGGTTTAAATCATGTGAGTTTTAATTAATATTTTAGAATATATTTTTTGACATATTGATATAAGAGGAATGGTAACTTATGATATTTAAATTTTGATTTTAAAATACCAAATTAATCTAATTTAATTTAATTTTAAAAAATAGTTACATAACTTTTGAAAAACGAAAAATACAACATAAATTAAAATGAAAAGAATGCTAAAATTTTCTAAAGATCAAACCCTTTAGATTAACCAAATTAATATTATAAAAATATACATAAATGATAAAACCAATACATGGTCAACAAAGTGGATGGGGATATCATTATTGTGTTGGCCTCTTTTCCAATTTATATAATTGCTACCGACATAGAGAAAAGTCTACTTGCATTTGTTAAGCATGTGAAAAAGTTTTTCTATATGCGGGAACCTTCCTTCTGTCACTTTTTAAATCTTTTTCAAAAAAACAACGTATTTTTATATCTATTAATTCATTTTAATTACTCATTTTATCCTTAATGGGATGGTTTAGAATTGCACAAACATTTTTGACTAATGTTAGATTATAAGTTTTTTTTTTTTTAAAATAATCTTCCTTAAACTTCATACTCAAATAAACTTATATCAATATAAATTGAAATGAAGGAAGTGTTAAGTAGAATTAATAAGTACTCATAAAAAAGAGGTGGACCATCGTGGATAGATATTATATATGGTTGACATTTACATGTATTTGGTAGGTTGGGGGATCGTTTGCTTTATTTGTGTGATGAAGAAAATGTCTTCGTGTAGCTAGCTAGATATTATTGTCAATGTAGTTTAACCTTTTTCCGTGAGTTGAGTCTTAAATTGAAGGCACGCCGACCAATTGATTTTGTACTTTTTTATTTACAAAAATTATGTTTATTTTACGAGTGGTACTGGTTACCCACAAGAAGTTTGAAAATATTGTTTTTTTTTCTTATTCATTTTTTAAGTGGTTAAGAAATTTTATTATTTCCTCAAATTGCCATGGAATACAACATTATTCGAGGCATGTTTATGGACAATAAAAAAGACAAAAATATTTTGTCGGAGGATCCTTGATGCTCCAAGTCAAATAAAATTGAAAAATTGATTCGAGTGAGCCCAGTATCGAACCACCCAAAGTCAAGTTATGTGGCTTGCGAATCTGAAAAGGAAATAATTATGGCATATGCATACCTTTTGGAGTACTTTAGTTTCCACACCACAACTTTATTCTACGACCAATCATACATTAATACAAATATCTTGGAAGGAAGGGGGTAGTGACTAAAAAAGTTTATCAAAAATCAAAGTTTAAAGAAAGAAGGTAGAGCGAATAAGTAAACTTCAAAGTGAATTTGTTATGTGAAGAGTGAGATGGGAGTAGTTGAAGAGGCTCACAATGTTAAAGTTATTGGGTCAGGCAAGACGACCATGGTACTTGGTCATGGTTTTGGCACTGATCAATCTGTTTGGAAACATCTTGTTCCTTACTTAATCGACGATTATCGTGTTGTTCTTTATGACAACATGGGCTCTGGTCCGACTAATCCAGATTATTTCGATTTTGAACGATACGCTACTCTTGAAGGTTATGCCTATGATTTACTTGCCATTTTAGAGGAACTTCAAATTGATTCTTGCATATATTTGGGACATTCTTTGTCATCCATGACTGGTGTTGTTGCTTCCATATTTCGTCCTGATCTCTTCTCCAAACTCATCTTGCTTTCTGCTTCACCAAGGTGAGATCATGAACGTTATTATACTACAAATTCAAATAGATTTGAGTTATATATAATGTTAGTATATTTTCTTTTATATATAATTTCAATTGATTGTAGTTTAAAAGAATTTATACATTTACTTGATTCAAATTAATACTACGTATGTACATCTGATTCATATTTGCAATATTTTCAAAATATTTTACATGTTTTTGAAAGGTTTACAATAACAAAGTCTCTAATGTATTTAGTGTAGTCTTAGATGAAGTGTTTAGTACTCCTTCTAGTCTATATTAAGTAAATTGTAAAATGCTACTACTTCCCACTAATTTCCTTTTGATTATTCCCAAATTATTCTTCTAAGAAATGTAAAGTAGTTAAGAACCTCATTAATATAAGGGAATATAAAAAAGTACTTCATACTCCCTCCGTTCCCTTTTAATTGTTATGTTACGCTTTTCAAAACCCAATTTATTGACTACGATATTTTAAACTACAAATCTAGATATTAAAAGTTACGAAAAGTACTATAAATTGCATTTTTTACATATCGATATGATGAAAAAGGTAATAAAACTTTCTTGATTCGTTGAAAATAGATAGGTAAAAGGAATATTTTCTTTTTAATATAAGGACCAAGTAATATAAAATGAAATGATGGGAGTATACAATGTATGGATGGAATCATGGGAAAACAACATCGAATTACAACTACACATGTTTTCTCTCTATATATATAGGTTCATAAATTCAGATGAATACTATGGAGGATTCGAAAAGGAAGATATCGATCAATTATGTCAAGCGATGGAGTCGAACTACAAGTCATGGATCGATGGTTTCGCGCCGCTAGTAATTGGCGGCGACATGGATTCAGTGGCAGTACAAGAATTCAGCAGAACTTTATTCAACATGAGACCAGATATCTCATTAAGTGTCTTTCGTACTATTTTTACGTTCGATTTAAGGCATTTTCTCTCTCGTGTTACGGTTCCTTGTCACATTATCCAGAGTTCCAAGGATTTGGCCGTACCAGTGGCAGTTTCGGAATATATTCACCGAAATCTGGGCGGGAAGTCAATTGTCGAAGTCATCTCAACCGAAGGTCATCTCCCGCAGCTGAGCGCACCGGAAGTCACTGTTCCGGTGCTGCTTCGCCATATTTCTCATAATCATCAACTTTCCCAGTAGTCTAGTGTTCATTGTTGCTTGAATCTTCATTGAATTCGAGGTTTTCAAGCTCTATGCTGTTCGGGAACTCTGCAAGGATCTTACCTATTCAACATATATATTGTTGTGTGGAGCTGAAAAAAAATATGTAATACAATTTTCTTCCATATGTATCTGGTAGCTATTTTATTAATGTAAGACTATTAAATAATTTTGACACGTTTTGTTTGGTCGAATATATCCAATCTTTCAAAAGATCACCCACTAATTTTAGCAACAGTTTAATGCATTTGTTATCTGAACTTAAACTTTAAAGCTCTCTCATGATTGACAATGAAGTTTCGTGAATCATCTCGAGCCAATGATGACGACGCTTTATCAGAAAAAGTGAAAGAAAGTGCAGCGTCATTAAGTTTGAATTTGAAAAGAATTCAAAAGAATCATCCCTAGAAGACTAGAAGAAGAAAAATAATTTGGGGTTATACACTAACTAGGTAACTTGTCCGCGCTTCGCGCGGTATAATTGTAATTTAATTTAATTTTTTTTATAAATTAAGTAGAAATAAAAAGGAAAATTCAATTTTGATCGGAGCCAAAATTTGTGTTTCCTCTTAAATAAAATAATTAAGAAAAGAAATAATATCTTCACATTAAGTTGACATCAGAGAAAACGATCAATTATTTTTAAAAAATAAAAAATTGACACAATAATGTTATAACATTTTAAAAAATCTAATTACCAAATTAAGATTTTAATACAATATCATGTTCATTTCTAATTAACTTTAATTCAAACACAATATCATTCATACATGAAGTAATTAATTATTATTTAAAAATCAATCGAAGAACCAAATAGACAATAAATAAGTATTCACGAATTTTAATCAATTTCATGCATATAAGGAAATTGTGAATACATTATTTATTGAAAATTCTACTTCTAATAATTTTAAATTTATAATTTCATTTTAAAAATATATATATAATTGTTAACCTAAAGTAATCTAAGAAGAGAAAAAAAAATAGATCTTGTTTTCCATTTCAATAAAAGAATTCACCTAATTAATTATTTTCTTAAATTAGGCATAATTCATAATTTTCTTTTATAGAAGTACAAAAAAAATACTCAAAAAACCTATATACCAATAAACTAAATATTTTTAAAAATAAATAATGAAAAGAAAGTAAAAAAGAACAAAGAAGGAAAAAAAGTAATTTAAGGAAAAATAATAGCATTAATGATGAAATGATTTAAAATTGGAAAAATGCAAAATAGATAAAACTTTCAAGACAAAATTTTTGAGCAAATTATTTTTTTTAAAAAAAATTATAAGAAAAAACGTATTTTTTTTATAAAGTTAAATAATTATTTGAATTAAGAAGAGTGTCATCATTTTTATTTTTAATTTTATTAGTGTTTGATATGGGTATAATCGTATAGATCTTTAGCAGAAAAGATGATCTAATTTATTTATAAAATATAAAATCGAATTACATTAATAAATATTAATATATTTGTTACAAAGATTATAATAACTAATTCTTGTAATAGATAAATAAAAGAAAGTAATTTTAAAAAAAAAATTAGAAGTGATTTAAGGAAATGATATAAATGACATTAATTATCAGATTAAGGTAAGGAAGTAAGAAAATTATTATGATTGTTGATGAACAAAATTAAATATGGTTACCATTGATATTTTTGTCTTTTAGTCTTTAAAATTTAAAAAGTGTCACCAAAATTAATATATGTATGTGTATATATATATATTCATTATTTCTAAGAATATAAAGTATAATTAAAGATAAAAAAAAACAAACATTAATTAAAGGTGGTAAGTAAGGGAAAAAAACGGAAAAAATAAATAACAAAATTTACAAAAAAACGAAATTAGAGGAATAGAAAATTGAAAGAAATAATGTGAGCACTAATTTAGGATCCTTTCAAATCACAATAAAAAATAAAACAAATATTAATTAAAGATATATAAGGAAAAATGAAACAAAAAAATTAAAGAAAAAATTAAAAAAAAGAACGGAAGAAGAATAAAGATGGAAAGTAATAATGTGAGAACTAATTTAGGATCTTTTCAAATGATAATTGACAACATATATTTCTCCTTATACTTTTCCTAATTTAATAATTAAACTGATTCTTTCTTTAAATAATTCTTCTTATCACTCATCAGTTTTTCTATAAGTTTTTCAACCAGTATGATTTAATTTTTGTTTCACAATACAAATTTTCTGGTAGAAAACATTATAGTGCAACATCCTGTTAATTTTTTTTTTTTATGAAGAGAACATTTGTTACATGACTTTTCTTCTTATATCAATATCTTGAAGAGTCATGAGATACTCTCTCTTTCTCTTTTCATAAAGAAATCATATTCTATGATCATCAAGAAGTGACAAAGTTAAGGTGTCCATTTTTATTGATTTTAACAATTATTTTTTTTTATTTTGTAGGCTAAATATAAATAATTTCTTTTTATGTGTATATATATTTGTAATTGTATAATGATTTTGAACCGTAAGATTCTTAACCTATTTTAAATTCTAATAACTTTAAAAATATTCCTAATAATTTTATTTCTGCATTTTTTTGGTTTTGATTTTGATTTTTTATTTTTTTTATCCTGAAGCTTTAAACACAAAATTATATGCTCAGTTATTATTAATAAATTTGATTACTTTTTTAAAAAAAGAAAAGAATATGGTGCAATTTGTAGTCAATCATATAGAATATCATACTATATAGGATATTAGATTAACTCTTGCATAAAATTAATTCCAATTTTCATATATCTAACGCTTACCGTCAATGATTTGACTATTATTTTACGCTAAAGCCGACGAAATATTGTCCATTCTGAGATCTCTTCTCTTCATCTCTAAATTTCCTTCCGAGGAGCTTTTGTTGTTTTTGTTTTGTTTTCCATTGCTTGTTATCCTTCTTCCCTTCATGACTTTTTTTTAAAATTTATTTGGTACGTCATTGAATTTTTTTCTCTTTGATGCGTGCATGTTCGTGAAACTTGTTTGATGTTCCTGAAAAGTTAAAAAGTAAAGAAAGGATGAAAAACAATTAAAACAAAGAAGATGTTTGAAACACAAATCATAAAAAGGAATGAAATATTGAGAAAGGAGCTAATCAAACCATGAATTTTTCCACTACTCCATCAATAATGAACACATCAATATTAGTTGGTGAATGACTTTTACCATATTTTTGAAATGATTTGTGATTATCTACTCTATTTTAAATATTAGAGAAAACTCTTGATATTCTCTCGTATAGGTTTTCAACAATTATTTATTTCTCTTTTAATTTCTAATATTTATGTGCTATAGTTATGGATATTAAAAACGACATAACTGCCACTAATATATTTAACATATTTATTTCTTTATCTTATTCAATAATTTTTTTAATGAGAAAAATAAATAAATAGGAATACTAGCCATAGAGAGGTGCCACATAGAATTGCTTACATTCAACTTTATATATATATAGATTTGGAGAGATAAGATAGGAAAGATAGATATAATTGATAAATACAATGTCCAGAATTAATCCGACTACTACATTAATTGGAAGATACACTTTTAAATATGAAAAAGCTATTAAATGGATATTATAGCTGTGAATTATAATTTTATTAAACTAGAGTTATATATAATAAATACATAACATACTCTATTGCTTTACTATGCAGTTTTTCCTAGGGAAAATTACACAACAAGACAAACATGTGATATGTATTTACAATAAACCACTACAATTTAAATAATTACAGATTGTAGCTATATGTAGGTTTTTATAGCAAATTTCTCTCTCCTCTCTCCCTCTCTCCCTTGCCTTTCTCCTCCCATTCCCCCCAGACCCCACTTCTCTCTCTCTCTCCCTCCTTCCTCCCTTTCGCTCCTCTCTCTCTCTCCTTCTCAAACAACTGCAGCCCAAAAAACATTCTACATAATACGACTATTGTATTTTTGTATTATGTATGAAATGTATTTGTATTTTGTACCAACTGTATTTGTGATAAAACTTGATACTACGAATACAATAGGCATTCATCATCTCTGACAAATGTATTATGTATCAATTGTATTCAATCAAATATAGGTGAAAGATTTGTATTTTATATCAATTGTATTCGGACAACGTCTATATTTGTATTTTGTATCAATTGTATTCATGATACAACGAATACAACATGTATTCATCCTCTCTCCTCCATCTCCTGATCTCGCTCGCCCCTCTCCTCCTAATATGTTGGTAAATACAATAATTTTTATACAATTGTATTCATTTTGATACAAACCAGTTCTACAATTGAATTCGTGATACAACTTGATACAACGAATACAACATGTATTCAATCTCTCTTCTCTCTCTCTCCCAGATGTGGCTCGCCTCTCTCATCCCTTTCCTAGTCTCGCTCGACTCTCTCCTCCCACAAATATGTAGCTATAATTCGTAATTAAACAAATTATAGCAATAAATCTCTAATGGATATATATGTAGCTATAATTCGTATTTAAGAATATATATTAGAGCTTATAAATATACTATTTAATAATTAGTAAGTATAAATGTCTACAATGTATTGGCAAATGGCCCAACTGTGGCCGGAAACGATGAAACATACTCTAATTGGAGCATGCCTCCTACGCCAGTTTAATCGCTTAATAATATTATCATCCTTACCAAAAAAAAAAAAAAGATACCATACTTAGTCCACTTCCATCCATCAAAATTACTATGATTAAGTGGAATAAACCTAATGAGGAATTTTATGTATATAATTTTAGAAATAGTACTTATAATATTATTTGTTGGCATCCATACTACAAGATGACTAAATGGTGCAGATCATGGATCAATTCTCGCTAAATACATTTTTTTTCTTCTTTTTTAGCGGTGAACCCTAGAAATTCTAGATTCACAAATCTGATGACCGGAGCAGGAGGGATTATTAGGGAGAAGGGAACCCTGCAGAGCAAGAAAGATGGGAACTTTTCCAGACTATCAAACACACAAACATCACTTGCTATTGCCAGACTCCTTGCTCGTATTCCTCAGCTTCTTCCTTTCCTAGCATGAAACTCTTCATAATGGTCCGAACAAAATTTCACTTGACAGATCGTAATGATAT